ATGATTGTCGTGTACCTATATGCCCACTAGGTGCTGGTTGGGAGTCTTCATGCCCATGGTTGTATGATGGCAAGAACGGTGAGGATCCATGAGCTTAATATTCAAATGGTTGGATGGTGTCATGACATGTCATGAACCATCATGGATTTCACTTATGTGATTTAGGTCAATAGTTGTGTCGTGGTGAATCGTGTGTTGGTTCGTTAGTCGTTTGGCATAGTCAGGTGTTCGAATAATATGGAAATAATGTTGGTGGCTCAATAGTCAGAGGCTTTTGGGTCGTGTGTTGTTAGGATGTCGACTTATGGGTAAAGTATTGAATATATAACAACAATTCCTTGTTGAGTGTCTTCTGATAGATTCTTGTTGATTTTTGGTGAGGAGGGCTTAGCCAGAGTTAACTACATGTGATGGGGTTCATTGTAGGTCTTTTGGATGAATTGCTAAATGGTTGTACACCTAAGATGTTATGGGATATTGGATGCCATGCAAGTTTTTGGATTGAACATTGTTATGCTCATGGGAGCGGTGTGTTAGTGATGACTTGTCATAAAGATAAGTGTGTATTTGATAACTTTTAGGCATGATTTTTTAAATTTGGGATGGGTTAGATTCCATGATCGAGTTGGGTGGAGTGTTCATTCCGCACGGTGTATACATCTAGAGTTAGGGACTAGGGGTATGTGTGACGGATGGAAGCTCATTAGCCAGTACGTATATTTTTGGAGTTTTAGGCTGATTGATTCCTGGTTTGTGGAGCATGACGACAGATTTGGTTATAGTCACAGCTTCAGGAGGCCTTCCTAGTTTGACTGGTTTTGCTAAGATTGGGGTTGTACCGTTGGAGAAGAGGTAGTTGTTACATTCAGTGCTCTAAAAGGCGCACCATGACGCACGCCCACACATGCCATGACGTGAGGCGCGACTTCACCATTACGAAAAGCCTCATAACGTTGCTGTTAGGCGTGACGCGTGGCAAGGCGTGATATGGTGTGCCATGGCGCGTTATGGCATGTTATGGCGCATGTTTTATCGTTTGAGACACGTTTTTTTTTCTCTTTTTATGCATTTTCTAATCGAACAAACAAGTATTGTGTTTTTTCTTTAACTTTTTTTATTAGTTATTGATATAACACTTCTAAATACTAGTTATATTTGATATAAATCTATATTTATGTGGTAATATAATTATAAATTAATACAAACTTGACGCCTTAGATCACGCCTTGAAAAACGCCATGGCTCGTTAAGCTTGAGGCATAGCCTTGCCGCCACGCCATGCCTCACGGATTTTAGAACATTGGTTGCAGTTGAATGTTTTCAAGTGACTAGGTTGTTTTTGGCATCATTTGAGTTGAATGGTCTATCGAGTTTTCGATTTTGATGTGTTGGTTTTATGAAGCTGTTGGAGGTTGCATATGGATTGTGTTAGTGTTGTGTACGACCGACGATATCGAGGACGAAATCTAATTCGAATGGGGGAGAATTGTAACACCCGTTCCAGGAATACTTCTTCTGAGGCTTGGTCATTTAGACTTTCTAAATGTGGAATTTGGTGGTGGCCATTATGTGGTGATGCATGGAGTGCAAAACCCTAAACTTTGGGCCTAGAGGCCTATTTAAAGGATGTGATGGCTAGCGTTTGCTTACCCTGAGCCTCCATCACCCTCTCAAGTCCATAAACAAACCCTAGCCGCCTTGTATCCATCTATTGAAGAAGGAAGAAATAAGCTCCGAGCCCAAGGATTCAGCAAGCAAATTTCTTCACCACCTTCTTGTGTATTGCTTAGAACTTTGTAAGTCCATAATTTCCTACCTTTTTATCCATCTCTTCTGGATCTAGGCTTTGAAACACATTTCTTTTTACTTTTGTTGGTTTGAGTGGATGGATTCCATAAAGTTGGCAACTTTATGGAACCTTGAGGTCTCTATATGGCTATATGTTCTAGATATGAGGTTCTACGAAGTTTTGGATTCCAAGCATGAGGTTTTGACCTCTTTCTTCTTAGTTTGACCTAACTTGAGTGTATAACATGCATTGGACATATATGTCCATAAAGTAAGGGTTTTTATGGTGGTTATGGGTGTAGGGAAGCCTTCTACAAAGGATGAGTATGAGGCTTAATGGATTAAAGAGCTTAATCCATTAAGAGGTCCATAACAGGTCCCACGACGTGGAGGTATGATCACTACGACGTGGTGGAAGGGTTTACCGTGATTGTTTTGTCGTAAGAATGCAACGACGTGGCCTATGCTTGGCTACGACATGGTAACCACCTGAGTAGACTTTGAATTTTACCGTTGACCGTTGACTAAGTTGACTTTCTGGTCGACTTGAGGGTTTCAAACTGTAGATTGATGATTTGCCTTTAGTTGATGTATAAGGGGTTTGTAGTGTCAGTCTTTACTTCCGCATGAGCCATAGTCTGGTCTGCTCATCTATGAGGTGAGTTTTCTCACTATAGTTTGTACTACATTATGTATCCTTTGTGTGTTAGGATGTTGGCATGCTGTAGTGATCTATTAGATTAGCATATCTGTTATAATTACCTATGTTTGTTGGTTATTGTTTGTTTGCACATGTCGACATATTGTAGGTGGGTTGAGGCGGTCCTGCTCTGTGATGTAGGACAAGATACCCGGGCAGTCCAGTTGCGAATGTAGGCCCAAGGAGAGCGGTCTAGCTAGACGTTGTAGGCTAAGGAAATCGGTCCAGTTGGTACTGTAGGCTCAGGAGAGCAATCCAACTATAGGCTTTCGGCTTAGGAGGCGGGCCAACCCTGTGTTGTAGGCCTGGTGTGCATGCATTGTCTGTGTATTGTTGTGTGGGGGCATTTTGAGGAACTCACTAAGTTTTAGATTACTGTTGTGGATTTAAATGTTTCTAGTACTTTTGACGATTAGGGCAAGGAGAAGGCGTGACTGTACACATCGTCCAATAGTCGTTATGTTTTTGAGAGATACTGTGGTTTTGATACTCTGATTTTATGTTATGATTGTGAAGCAATGTTTTTGGTAACATGTGTTTTATGAAAAAAAACTTTATCTCTTTTGAAAATGAAAAATTCGACAATGATTTTGGGGAAATTACACAGTTGAAGGAAATCATTTCTTAGATGACAAACTTCGTGAACGCTAACCATACTGCATCGTTGTCATATACAACCAACTCACCTTCCTACTGGGTATTTGTACGTACAAGATCTAAAGTACATTGTTGTTTAATTACTTTTCGAGGATGTCATCTTCAGATTGAAAATCGAATAAAGAACTCGAGAATAAAGATTTGCGAAAAACATCAAGAATAAAGAAGTTTTTTAGCGGTGTGTTAAACCAAATGAACCTCTCCTATTTATATATAGGTCTTGGGCGGGCAAAATGATAACTTTGGGGGTAAATGGTTATATAGCCATTTTATTGGAAAAAATATGTTTTTGTATTTGTTCTAAAGGTAATATTTGAATCCGGATAAAAATTGAATAATTATCTAGTTAGAAAATCAGGATAAAATCAAGGTCTATGATCATATGTCAAACCAACGGTTAGTGTATATTTAATTTGGATATTCATAGAGATCAGACATGGATACCTTTTCAGATTTCCTAAAAATCTGAATCGGTTTAAGAACCTTTAGTCCTCTACCCACCAATCCCACCCCATCCTTTCCCTCGTTCACTTCCTCATCTCTTTAATCTCGTCGAAAAGTGCCATCCATCTCTAATCAAATGAACACAAAATAGAACACCTAGTTACGATTGTAGTGTAAGCACATGAATAGGGTGGAAAAAACAAATGAAAAAAAGGTGATAATACATCTAATAGTAAATTATCATGCCTAAAAATTCTTAAAGGGGATATTATTTATATTGAGATATCAAATATCATTCTACCTTTTGTTAATGTAAATCTTCTTATTTATATAAAACAATAATATATGGAATCTGTTAATTATCTTTCTTAATCTCTTGTCTTAATATTAATATTTGTTTTGATCTAATGAGAAGAAAGAAAGATAGGAACAAAAGATAGGAGGATATATGACTTCTCATTTATATTTATGTAATTTTTTTGTACTTGGAAAACAAGCCTACAAACTTAACATTTCAGGGGGTGATGCATTAACCTAAAAATGAATTGTATTTAGATCTAAACCTACTAATATATTTTCACTCCAAAAGGGGCAGAATTTATTAGATAGGGGTATGTCTGGTAACAAGTTTTTGAAGATTTTAGGAGATTTTAAGCCATCAATTTTTAAGAAAAAAAAAATCCAAATTAAAGAAATATCTTCTTTGAACCGTATGAACTTAAAGCTTTTATTTTAAACAAAAAGTTCATAATTAAAAAGTGAAAACTACTTTAATTGGCTTTGGAAAGCTTTCAACTTTTAGATTTTATATAATTCTACACATTTCAAAATTCTAATATAATGTTAACACTTTTCAAAAGCTTACAATTACTTTTTTCCAAATATTACTATACAAATAAAAGTTATAGCTTTCAATCAACAGATACAGCAGATACAGTAAAAGCTTCCAACTACCTATTAGTTTTGTTAAACATGACATAATAATTGATTTATGTATGTTTTTCCTCACCTGGCCCACCAGTGATTGTAATTATCACGTTAAAGGTGCTGACAACAATATTTCTATGAAACAAAATATGTATATCGTACACACAATGTAAAGTATCAAAAAGTGTTGCCCATCAGGCAAGAATCATTGATGAAGCTCAAGTAATATTATAACGAAATTTATTAATGATGGCGTACGCCCGAGTATGCACACGACAAATGTAACGGTTTTCTGAAAGCAATACATGTGTATCTTGTGCAATTGAAGTTTGTTTTTCTTCGAGAATGTCAATTTCTGCTTCGAAAGCTTATTATAGTTACAGGAACCGAAAGCATACCCATATTAATTAAATTCCAAACAGAAAGAAAATACCACTCATCACCAAAGCTCCAAGCTAACTAAACCCAATCATAGTAATAGTAATTAATAATCCACCTCTTCAGAAATGTCACTATCCTGAGAGACAGAAGAATCATCTTCATCGGAATATCCGGAAGAATACGTATCATCAAAGTCATAATAGTTTCGTGTTGAGCTCTTAAAATCTTTTATCCGTTCCATGCACTCCTTTAATAAATTCATGTCAAGATTAAGGTTATAACACCAACGAACATCTAGGGATTCAAGGTGAGGGCATCCGTTAAGAATGGCCTTGAATCCGTAGTTTGTCATCTTACTACCAAACACCTGCAAATGGCGTAACTCAGGCATGTTGTTTGCAATGGCAAGGGCATCATCATCATATTTAATGAATGACCCGGTGATTGTCATGTCCATCTCGAAGGACTTAAGCTGAGGGCAATTCCGTCCAATAACTTTAATGTCTTCAATGTTGATTGAGATGGAAGTAAGATGAAGTTTCTCCAATTGTGGTACCCTTTTGACTGACCGTCTCAACCCACTGCCCGTCATATCAAAGCAGCACCAAAGGGAAAGGCTGTTCAGCTTACTTGAGCTGTTGTTCACAAGTCACCACATAAAGCCAAAGAAAAGAAAAACATTTTCAGTAATTTAAAACTACTAAAAGATAAGAAGCTACTTGCAAACAAACATAAAACAAATAAATAAATAACAGATCAAATGTTATGAAGGTAAATCATACACCTCAACTTGGGACTTAACAAGATTTGTAAGGCTCCTATTGTCTATTGAAGATGAGGATATGAGGTCATTCACGTCATTTGGCGCATACAAGAGATCGAGAGGGAATTTTTGTCCTACCTTTTTGGGTATACTCCAATCCAATGCATGCCAAAATTAATATATACAAGGTTTTTTGTCAAGTAACAATGTCCTCTACTGTGCCATGTTCTCAAGTTTGTGTTCAATTCACTCATAGTACTCATGTTCCAAATACTAGACGCATGCAACCATATTAAATTGTCTACATAACAAATAAAACAAGCCAAAAAACGTCTATGATATGATCTGAACCAAAATTCTTACATTCATAATCTATTGGTTAAATGTTTCCCTTGATTAAGGAGTATGATTTAATGGCAATGGCAAGGAAGAAACCTACCGTATCAACATGTAATCAAGGAGATCATCGGCGCCAAACCCTTTGATACTGAGATCGGTCAATTCCCCACAGCTAAGATCGACTGCCTTCTTAGTCAGCATCTCAAGATCGTAATTTGTATAACATGCATCCCAACTATCAACATCGATGACCTTCCATATCGCCGGATCTTTGCAAATTCTCCACCAAGTTGTGCATACTTTCATTGCGCCGTTGAGTAATTCTAAAGTCCGCAATCTTTGAAATATATTTACCATCAGTTCGTGAGGAATTTCCAGCCATTTTGGAGATTCCTTCGTTGGCAAACACGGGTCTGCGGCGGACGCCATTCTAGCTACGACGATTTTACCGACTTGTTTGATCTTTCTTTAAGCGCCGTCTGGATTATTGAAAACCCTATTATTGGAGAAAAGTGAATTAGTAAAATGTCCCTGCCGTTTTGTGTGCTTTACAATATAGTCCTTTGAGAAAAACAAATTATATTATATGTCTACATTATGCCTAATCACTCGTCTCTCTAGCATGGTAGTGAAAGTCGTACTTAATTCCATGGTTCAAAATTTTGGGACAATCAACCGTATATGCAATAGCATAGCCATTGTCTAACTTTAATGCATGTGAGCTAATTGTGATAGTTAATTTGGTAAATTTTACGGACCGTGTAACTATTATGCATGTTATCCCCTTCTTTCTTAATTGGATCTTGCATCTTCAGTACTTATGTCCATGCATTGGTGCGACTGTCTGTTCAAAGAAAATGATTTGACTTTGTCTTCCTCTAGTGTCAACTATCTTCTTTTATTACAATAATAGTTAAAATAATCATATCCTAGAACAGTTAGTATTCAACAAAAAAAATAACACACATGTCGTATCAATGATTACATAAAATGGAAATAAATGTCACACAAGCGACAACCAAAAACAGATAAATCAACCAAAAATCTAATCACATTGGTTCAAGGGTATGCTATACATTATTCAATCAATCATATTAAAAGCATTTATCAAAAGTCAATACCAGAATCACACCATACAATTGTACAACATTGCCAGCGTATTTATGTATGTACAATTCTAAATTCTTATAATACTGGTACAGCCCTTCTTGTATCTCAGCCCACTTGCAAGGGTGGTTTTGTATAGGGTCCCATGGTGGTACCGACATGATTTGCCAGTACGCAGTGTAAAAAAATTTCGATTTTTTTTTCTATTATCTTGCCACTACTTAAATTTCCCGTGTCACCCGGTGCCACCCCTAGGCCAGCCTAGGTCAGCCTCTGCCTATTTGTTTGTATTAATTTAGATGAATTTCATATATGCCTTTCTTAAACATTAAAATATTATATTTGTCAAGTTTAATCTCTTAATATCATATTTACTATACACATAAACCTTCAAAATATCATATTTGTTCAAATCTTTTTTATAATGTTTTTAATAGTTTATGATCATTTTCTATATTTTAGAATTATTATAATAATTAAAAATTAACCATATTATCCCCAAGTCTATGATAATGAATCGTTTACTTCTAAATTGTTGGAATATTGCCCTCTTGACAAACAAAACGTTTCATTTTCAACCCTTTCCATGGAATGTATGCAATACTTGCTAGTTTTTTGTTGTTGTTGATTATTGTCATGTTGTAGATGGAGGATATTTTAGATATTACCATTGATATTTTGATGTTTAAGAGGCATAAGTTATATTGTGATATTTAAAAAGTGCATATATGATATTTTGATGTTTAAGAAGGCATATATGATATTTTGAAATTTTATAAAAGGGTAGATATGATATTTAGAAATTAAGTTGGGCAAATATGATATTATGATGTTTAATAAAGGTATATACTACATTCTCCCTAATTATTAATTTAGCCATCCTGCTTGTAACGTCTATATATATGGCATATATGAGAGGAAATCTTTTCATGAGAAATTAATGTAATTACATGGTATCATAACAAAATCAAATCTCCTCCTAAAACAAATCCTCTTCCTTCTCGACTCTAACCCTAGTCGCAACACCCTTCACCGTCGACTATGTTTCTCGATTGCCACCACGACAATAAGACAAAATTGTATAGAATTACAGACAAAATTGTATGGAATTACGAACATAAACTCGTATATTCCGCTTATTCTCGATTGTGATCGTTTGAACCGCTACTCATGGCTCGCATTGTTTGAAACTCATTGGCAACGGATTTAGTGTTTCCGACCATCTTAATAGAGTGAATCAGTGTTTTCGACCATCATACCGGAGTGGATGACCCCCCCCCCCCCCCCCCGCTACATCCAACAATACTGAATAGATTCATATTGATTAAATTGTGAAAATGTGGATCTATGGCACAATTTCACAACCTATACTTCAAATGGTTCTCAAGAAGAACACCAATTCTATTATAGTACGGGTGAACCAACTCGAGACCCTATTTTGTAATAATATTGACGAAAAAGAAATTCAATTGGATAACGAGCTTTGCAACATCTCCATTGGTGACTCCATAATTACGGAGTACTACACAAAAATCAAATCGATTGCAGATCTTTTTGACAACATAGACGTCATTGTTCCCGAGAAAAACAATAATGTATAAGATCAATGGTCTTTCTCTAAAGTTCGACTACATCGTTGTTGTTATTATTTGTTGATAGCCTTTTCCCACTTTCACAGAAGCACAATTAATGTTGCTTCTTGATGATCAACGTATGGATCATGTACAAAGTCGAACTGTTCAAGCTTCCTACAATAATCATTCATCGTCTCCAACAGGTATCACTACCACTCATGCAACTTAGTTTTTGGACAGTTACAACATAAATCGTTGTTCACGTAATGTTTGAAAGAACAACCAAGTGGAAGACATATTAGAAGAGAATAATATCATCTAAATCTAAACCACCGATTTGTACTCCTTCTATAGGGCAGGGTTTTGGATGCTACCCATTGACATACCCCCAATCTAATACTCACTTTAGGCCCACTCGACCCCCAACCAGGGATTTCTGCCAACTCTTCAACATGGTCAACATATTTAGTAGCAACCCACCATCACTTAGGCATTCAACCAACAACAACAACCCACCGGCTTAGCAGTGGACATCATCCTACTAATACTTACCACCAACAGTCGCTAAAAACCCAATGTTTTTTTTCTTGCGATGCAGTTATACACTCCCTCATAGTAGTCCAGAAATCAACATTCCTCGACTCAAGACTTTACCATGGTTCGCCTTTATATGTATAACACTATGTCGTTGAATAATCTCAGGAATACAATTGAACCCTCTATAATTTAATACTCGATAAATTAATAACCTCGATAAAATTAATAATTTGTCCAATTCCAACTTGGACCGGTATAAAATTGGATCCCAATCGATAAAATAATAAAATAATAATTTTTTTAAAATCTTAATGTAAATATATTGGTCCCAACGAAACTATAAAATAATAATTACTAAAATATTTAAAAATTCTAGAATTTTCTAGTAAAAAATGAATCTATAGTCACTTGTTTTTTTAAACTTCAAATCTATATTGAGTTTATCTTTAAATCTCCAAATTGCACTCAAGAGTTGAGGCATTATATTCTTGTATTGCAACAAAAAGTTGTGAAGAGTTTTTGCCGCTTGCAATGCTTCTTTCCGAGTGACCGGTTCCAAAGGTATTGAATCATCATCAACTTCATCATCAACCGAATTTTGAACGGTATACGCGATAATTTCTTCAACTCTTTGAACCTCGTAACATTCATTATTTTCACCTAGATAATCCAACAACTCATTCACATCCATTTTCTGTCGATAATGCATTCCCGTAATCAAGTTCTCAAGCTCACGAATATCTTCTCCACAATTTACATCATTTAAATCATTTGAGCCAGTTGGATTAGCCGAACAAATTTTACAGTGTCGAAAGCAATTTGCTATGGATTCTTGTTTCACATTTCTCCAAGCCGAGACGACCAAGTTGATGGCATCTAAAATATTAATCTTTTCTTGGGAAGAAATATCCAACTCATAACCTTCCAAAATCTTTACGATAAAACCTTTTACGGTAGTATATTTTAAAGCTCTAATTATCCCAACATCACATGGTTGAATTTTTGAAGCCATGTTTGGCGGTAGAAAAAACAACTCGATGTTTTACAACCCTTGAATATTTTTTGAATGGGTTGGACAATTATCGACCGTGCATTTGATCATCTAGCCAACGAACATATTCTTCGAAAAACAACCTAGTCATCCATGCTCTTTTGTTGGCACATTATTCACAATCTAGGCTATTCATGTTGACATTTTTAAAGCAACGTGGCTTTGCATGTACCAATGATCCATAGAGGTATTTTTTCCGAGTTATCCGCATTGCAACAAATAATAATTTTAAGTCTTTCCTTGTCCTGTTTTCTACCTTCAAGTTTTTTTGTTCCAAGTGAATGGTCAGCTTGTAACCTGTAAAACAAACCAGTTTCATCCATATTAAAAACATCTTTCCTTGGAAATTGATTAATTTTTTCACTTATGGACTCCAATTTATTCTCCATGTCATGTGTGTCAACTGAGTCACTTTCTCCGAATCGGCAATACGATTTGATACCATGCCTTAGCTTGAACTTCTCAAGCCAACCCTGTGAAAGATTATGCTCAGAAGAATCTTGTGGATACAAAAGCTTCAACGTCTCAACCTCCTTCTCTATGATTAACTCTCATGTTATATTCACATGCTCTTGATGTTGGAGAAACCATTCATAAACAACTTTCTCCATGTACGGATACTTGGCTACTTTATGATACTTGGAAGATCCATCTTTGTCAAAGTTAGCCGATAGGAACTCCGGTGATCTCTTATGAGTGTTTCATGTTGTTCCTTGACTAACTTTCAAATAGAAAATTTTGTCAACCCACTTCACCAAATCTTGTTGAGTGCATCCTTGGTGATCTTTCTGATACTCGCATAATAGTTTTCGTTGTTGATTGGTCATCGTTGATTTTTTAACACCTTTTAGTTTAGAATCCATAGTTGATGTGATTTCAAAATTTATCATTAGACATTTTATAGTGATCAATCTAGATATGTGTACATTGAACTTGACAAGTTCATTAATGATTGAATGTACACGGAAATTCTGAAGGTCCTTGTTTCTGTTTTATTCAAATAGGTAAAGTGAACGGACAGTGAAATTTTGAAGGTTGATGCATTAATTTGAGAGTTACTCACGAATATAAGCCAACTCTTTAAATTAATAATTTATTAATTTATCGATATAATAATATCTTGCTAAATTAATAAAATATCTCAGTCCCAACATTATTAA